TCTAACACAAAAACATTGTATGGGCTGTGAAATTCATTCTAATTTGTGTTCATTTTAATATTAAATTACTTTAGAGGTTTTAGCCTCAGGTCACACAAATCTTTTTATGTAATAAACAACACGAAATTGATTCTGCTTCACTTAAATGTTCTATATAATTGTAATTGTCGGACGGAGGCAACACAAAAAGTGTGTATCCTAAAATTGGAAATATTTTAGGGCTTTAGGCTCAACCCTTGATATTTATATTAATTGATAATAAAAAGCTGGTCTATATAGTTATAACTGGAAACTAAAATTTAAATTTAAAAAAAACCGTTCAACAATTGAAACCAACAATTTTCAAAAACCGTTCTTGAAAATGAAAAAATAGAAAAATTTTTTCAAACAAGAACCAAAACAAAAAAAATTTAAAACCGTTCTTAAACCACAAACCAAAACCAGAAAATTTAGAGGACCATTCTAAAAAGCAAAACTAAAACCGATCCCTGATGGTACGTATAATACTGGGTAGAGTATAATACTAGAATACTTACATTTCAGATAACAAACAAGATCTCAACAAAGAAGTAACCTGTATGTATTTGAAACTCAATAAATAATTCAATTTTAAGTATCATATACCGTGGCCATATATACATTTATCTAGTTAATAATTTATAATACACACATACCGCCAAATTAATATCGTAATATGTATATTTTAAGCTTTTCTAATGAAAGAAAATCCATACATTTCCAAAAACTCTTAAAATTTAAATTTAAGAAACCACTTGGAAATTATTTTAGTTTTTAAATGAAAATAATTAAATGTTTGACAATTAATTCTATTAAAACATTTAAATTAAACACTTATATTAAAGTACGTGTTTACCAAAAAACTTTTTTTGATGCCAATAATTTAATAAATATAAAACCAGATTATGTATGTATTTATTGTAATAATTAATTGTTTTTTTTTTTTTAGTAATCATAGGTAGGTATTTTCATTGTGTTTTTTGTTAATTAAGTTATTGAATAATTTATAGAATGCAGTTTGCTATAGTTCTGTAACAGTTTACTGATAACTGTATTATTGTTTGTCGACAAAGACAGGTTTTTACACCTATGATATGCTATACTAAATCGACATATACAAATGATATTTTAAAATATAGAGTTGATTGCTCTTGCGACCACTTCCAGGGGTTTCGGGGAACCAATCAAAAACCGGCTGTGCGAAACGGATGCAAAACGGACCGGCGCGCAGTCATTTTCTTATTCCGCGGAGGGCATAGAAGTACCTTAATTTTTGTCAGTGCGACGGCTATTTCACGTCCATAAATTGGTTTTGAATATTTTGATCTAGACATTGAATGACTTTTGCATGTGCGTGCGTGCGACCATAAACCGGATAAGAAATAACAATGTATTGTAAATAAATGTGGGTCAAGGGCACGGTTATCTACTCCGAAGATACTAGATACTAGTAGATAACCGTGGTCAAGGGTGATGGTAGTGGAGTATACACACACTAATGATCATTCACTACACACCAAAGACGATCAGTAATGGCAGGGACAAAATAATTGCCAAAACACAACTCCTTAAAAATGACACATTTACAGGGGCCTTAAGTAGTAAATTGAGCTAAGTTTAGTATTTTTTCAACATTTTGGATTATACATCGAACGAAATTCATCAATACGATTATATTCAATATGTGACATTTGTACCATAGCATAAATATGTTTAGGAACTTACATTCACCGATGTCACTTGTTGAGAAATTGGGAATATTATTAAAAATTATATAAAACCAGTATATTTGTCGGCAAATTGAGATATTCGTGAATTGGGATTTGGCGAAGTGAGGAAGAACCGTTGTAACCTACGCTGAAGAGTGAATAGATCAGGAAATACACTGTTTGATCGAATAATCGGCAACTATAATAGTGAAGGGGGCTTTAAAGTAATCCATTCTAAGGAGTAAAAAATAGGAATTATATATTTCAGTTTATATGAGTTTTGTGAATTCGTTGGACGTAAATTAATATTAGTGTAATTCGTGATACCGATCACGTTGTATAGGGATATCATGGTGACCGGATATGCACGTCTGTCATTTTACCTACGCTCATACACATTTCACCACATATCACTTTATAAAATTACAAATATTTTTTTTATAAAAAATACTACCAGTGACTTCAATCAGTATACTCAGTAGGCTGTTTCAATTTAAATTTTGAAAGCAGTTTAGAATTTTCCTCTAAATGTACTATGTTTTATCTGTCTTACATTTTCTTATTCTATATCAATGTAATTAAATTTGAATTATGAATATGATATAATTTTACTCTTTTCGTTACTAAATTTGTCAGTAAAAAAATAGGAAAAGAAAAAAAAGAAATTGTCAAAGCATAGGCAAGTGGTGATTGAAGTCGTGAGCTATATTTTTGACCACAAAATGGATCACACTCCAGTCCCCTTAAAATTAAGCTCGATTGAAAAAATGTTTCAATATAAACTTTATTTCTAAAACAAAACAAAAAATATAAATAATATAAATATAAAAGTTTCATCAATTGAAACTCTTAACTTCCTTATTAGTTACAAACAATGTTATCCTAGATCGTTGTTTCATTTCATTACAAAATGGTTATACAATCTTGAGAAAGTTAACAATGTTGTAAACTAAATAATATTTCTAATTTTTTATAGATGACCTAAGTAAGTTAAATTTCTGTTATTTTTAAATTATAAGCAGAAACGCACATTTTTACGCAAAACCAGTTTTCGACAAAATTGATTGTTATTTTTGGTATTATTCCAAAAAATAAAATAATAACCGTAGATACATAAAATGTTCATCGGATGTTTATATTAGCATTTTTTACACTATAACATTTTCAAAATATTTTAATTCTTTTTATAAGGTATAAACGAATTTTAATTTTATAGGTTTTTTTTTTGAAAATTATTGTTACAAAAATATTTTTTTATCAAAAAACTTGCAAACTTTTTAATATTATATTTCATAAGTTTTATTACAATTATTATAAAAATAAACACTAAACCACACCTATTTGTTTTTGTTTGACTCAAGATCTATATAATAGTAAGTAATTTTTGGGTTTTTATTTCATTATGAATTTCCGTGTTATATTATTCTTTTACTTGATACTATCAATTAATCTATCAATTAATGCTATTTTTGCCATTACCATTTATTATACACTATACAAAAACCGAATGGTTTACACATTGGTCAATTTTTTTTTTATATTCTATGTCCAATTGTCACAATACGATCATAGCCTTTTATTTTGTATTTCTTTAAAGTATGATATTTTTTAAGCAATAAAAAGAAAATAGGCTAAAGCAACTAACAATGTAGATGCCATGATTAACATAATATGTTAATGCTATGCAATTTTCTTTTTATTCATAACAGTTCTAAAAACCATTAATTAATCAATTTTAGAATATAAGTCTATAATTTAAATTTTTAAACACAGACTTCAATAATATTTCATTATATTTATATTTGTTTGCAGGGAATGAAGGTAAAAACATTTTTATTTCGTTTTTTATATTATTAAAAGAAATTTATTTTCGATAGTAATGCGATATTACTTTTTAAAACAGATTTGAATTCGTTATTATGTCTACTTGATATCGGTTCGGCCAATATTTCTAATTTCATCCAATCACCCCTCCACACCAACAAAAATAAATTTAGTTTGAATATTTTGTAATTTCAATCTTTGAATATCCCAAGTAGACATTAAATAACGAATTTAGCTCAGTTTTCTGAAATATTATTGTATAATTAAGTCGATTGGTAAGATGGACTAAAAAGGTAAATCCCTAAAAATGACTAAATGAGCATAAATTGTATATTGTTCACAATTTTCAACACCGAAGCGGTGACTTGTACATCTGCGTTTGGGAGGTTTCCGCTATCTCCTTTACATACAGTAACTTGCACACCTAAAGATCAATTACAACTTACATATGTTCCGTAGTAACGCACATATTTACAAGACGAACTGGCATACAATTTTTAAATAGCATATAACTCCTTCAAAAGTGTCCACTACCGATCTCCTTAAATCTTCATCAATTTCTAAATGAGAAAGTGGCTTCAATGTCCATTTATAGATAAAAATTACCTAATGAATATCAACGATCAGAAACACAAGAGTACATTTTCTTGAATTTTTCTTAGATATGAGAAGTTCTTTTCAAAAAATGTCACATTCAAAATGAAAATGTCAATTTTATTGTTGTCATTTTTAATGTCTCTATGATATTGTAATAGAAAATAAGAAAATAATGTGGATTCCATAAGCTAAAATCTAAAAGCATAACCTTTAAATGTGAAGCACACCAAATCATAAGGGTATTTTAACAATCCTCTCAAATATGCAATTAGTAATATAATAATATAGTCTATGTGACTATATCTATTATTTTATATTAATGATCCATTAATTAATACATTTTCATTAGAAGTAGAGAAAAGTACAGGTGTCTATCATATTAAACACCGCTATTATACATTTCATATTGTGTATAATTATAATATTAATAAACATCGTATTTCATATTTTTTTTTTCAGATGAAGTTGGTAAGTATACTTTATGTTTAGTGTCATAATATTATTACTTCTGCTCTTCTGGAATGACCAGATGAAAATTCAAAATTAGTTAGAACACACAGTGTTTGTAATTGGTTCAGGTTCTTATGCATTTGAAACACAGTTTAGGTGTTTAAAACGTCAATTAATGTTATGCAATAACAATTCTTACACGTGATTAAACTCAACAAGAACAAAAATTTAAATATATCTAAAATAGTATAGGTATAGGTATAAGTATTTGAATCTTTGTTTTTCATTATCTAACATTTTATTTTTGAATAAGTTGTGTGTACGGTGGATGTTATCAAATTATTTTTGAAGGCTTACTGCGACAACTATCTCAATCTATCTAAGGTATAGAACAACTTAGCTTCAAATTATAGTTACCATATTTTTGCTATTCAGCACCATTTCGTGAGTCACTGATATATCTCTAAAAACTTTTTCGAGCGCCAGATTGAACAGTATTGGAGATATTGCATCAAATGGCTTACTCCAGATTGAACCTAAAACTATAGAGATAGTTCCCCTTGGTATTGGAGATAAAAATATGTGTTTGAATTGCATAATATTTCTATCATTTTGATCAGTTTTTCTGGGATTTAAAATTTCCTCAACGCTGTCCATAGTGTTGTTATCTATTTATACTGTCATAGGATTGTTTGAAGTCTAAAAAAATCATGAACAAGTCTTTATTATTATACTCGTATTCATCTACCCTATTCATTTTACTCTTCAGTTATCCAGACTTGATACTTATACAGTTATTTTGGACGCCTAGCTTTATTCCCGTTGATTTTCTCTCTCTTCTTTCGTTATATAGCTCCTTACATTACTTATACAGGATTAATGACGCAAATTTATTATTACGTGATAAATTTGGCTTTTTGTTATTGTGTTTGGGGATACCCATGTTTGTTTGTAAATATATTTTCTGAGAAAAAACGTACTGCTTACCACAAGGTCTATCGACACTGCAAAGTTTATGACCTGTACCCCATTATCATTAGACGTCATGTGTTGGATTTATTGTTAAATAATACTATTAATAATAATACGTATAATACGTATTATAATATAATACGTACGTATATGGCTAGACTCTCGTCCATTTTGTGCACAGATCTCCTAAAATTATATTTACTGTATTTTCAGATAACGAGTCATATGCGCTCTATAAGCTTTAATAGAAATCGCTTTTTACATCACTGTTCTTGTCTTCCGTTTGGGCATAACAATTTAATAATTTAATAATCCCAAATTTTTCCTTTTATGTGGATAAAACCCATTCTCTCATTGATTGCTGTACAACTTTTAATGTTTGGTAGCATTGAAACGTTGACTAGAAAACCAAAAACCTTTTTCATGTCTATTACTTCTCGATCCACTATAGTTGGTCTTACTCTTGGCATCTGATGGGATTGTTAAAGCTATTCTCAGATATGACTATCATCAATTTACAATTTTTAAAACTCATAAAATTAATATTTTCTAGAGTTATCACCACCTCGACAAGGATCGTTAATCAAAAATGTATAAATTAGAAATGTAGGTTTAACTCATGTGAATGTCATTCTAAAGAAAATACATTTCATTATTTCGTGGTTTAACGAGTCGATAGAGATTACTTCAGAAAAATATTATCGTTATATTATCTTGCTTTAATTATACCCTATGTGCAAATTCAGGATTTTAAGTTCTATGCGATAGTCATTTTATGATCTCATAAGTAACTTCAAAAAGCAACCTCTATAGGCTATATCATGGATAACATGTCACACATTTGATTTTAAATTATGTTTAAGGGATATCCTATAAAGATGTATATATGATATAATTGTGTGCAATTACGTAGAAGTAACAAAGAGAATGTATAGAGATAATCGCGTTTACGAACTCGCATGTACGTCACATATTCTTCATGTGTGATAAATGAAATATCAGTGTAAACCGCTTCTATCGCACACCCATATTATTTTTAAACATCATATCACTGACGATCGTGATAATGATTATTATATAATATATAATATAATATAGGAGTGGTTACACATTTTGATATTATCCACAGGCACAGTTGTATGTGTCCGGATATCGTTGTGACTTTTCCTAAAACATGGTTTTTATTTCATTTGACTGTACTTTAATTAATACTCCATATAAATTATTAAACATAAAAATAACATATTATAAAAATAATCTGAAAGACTTTTTCCATAGAATCTAGAATTCTTACAATAATCATATGAAATATGAATATACTATTCTATAATTTATGGAAAACATTATGTACAGAAATTTAAATTAATTTAAAATTATGGTTTACAGCAATCCTAAGTACGTATTAGTTAGTAATGTTATTTTTGGTGGGACATAATATCTTTTTAAAGTTTTAAAATCTGATAGGAGCGATGAAGTATCATCTACAATAGGGTGCTTTTTTCATTTCCTTTTTTGAAACAGTTAAAATATTTATATTTGCTACATTAGGAGTGATTTTTAGTGAAAAATTAGATATATATATTATAATTATTGGTTGTTAAAATTAAAAATAACTCTGCTAACTATTCAAAATGCCTGTGAATAATTTATAAAAAAAAACAAAAATGTTTTCGATACTCAAGTTTTTGAAAATTTAATTTTTTTTTATATTTTCATTTTCAAAACCATAGTCACTTTTACAATATGTATTACCGAAAGAAGATTTTTCGCCTCAAAAAAATAAAAACTGTAGACTTCTATTATTTTTAAACTATAAGCGGAGCGATGAATTAAGCAAATACGGATGTTTTAAAGCAACATCAGTTTTTGACAAAATTAATTTTGATCTTTAGTGTTATTTAAAAAAAAAAAACAACTGTCGACACATACAATCTTCACCGGCTGCTTATATTAGCATTGTTATACACCATAATCTTATTTTATAAAAATAAAAAGTAAAACCCAATTTTTATTTTTTTATTTATCTAGATCAATTTACCAGTAAGTAATGTAATTTTTGTGTATTTTATTTTATTGTGAATTTACGTGTTATATTATTATTTTATGTGATATGTTTTCCATTCTATAATCATTCTACATCAATTAATGTAGTTTTTACAATTGACATTCATTATCAACTATACAAAGAGCCCAAACCCACTAACAATGTAGATTGCATGACTAAACTATGTCAATGCTATGGAATTTATTTTTTTTATTACCGACATATCTGAAAAAATATTAATTATTTAATTTTAAAATAAAAGTCCACTATTGACATTTTTAAACACAGCTTTCTGTAGTATTTCATTAATCATTATATTTATATTTGTTTCTAGGGCACATTGGTACGTACATTATTGTTTTGTTTTTTGTACTATTAAGGGACATTTATTTTTGTTAGTTATGTGATAGTACTTTTTAAAACAGATGTGAATTTGTTATTATGTCTACTTGAGATCGGTCAGTAAAATATTCCTAATTCCCCCCCTCACACACACACACACACACCAACAAATATAAATTTAGTTTGAATATTTTCTAAATCTGGAATTTCAAACGATTGATATCTCAGACCTTATATAACGAATTGAGGTAAATTTTCTGAAATATCATGGAAGCGGTGACTTGTACATACGCGTGTCATATACTCATATACCTCAGGATCTTATACCAGAAAACGGAACATATAGGGCCGGAGTGGTTGGGTAGTGCAACCATTGGAAAATTGCGTTACTTTAGTATACATGTATATATATATATATTATACTAGCTGACCCGGCAAACGTTGTTTTGCCATATAAATAATTTCCTAGTAATTTCTAGTGTAGACAAAAAATAGCTTACTTATTGGATTTTTGTATGTTGTATCTATTATTTTTTTTTTTTTATATATATAACCAATACCTTAGCAACCATTTATAAACAATTATTTCTACCGTAAATTATCAAAATCCCTGTTTGAGCACTTCTTTTATTTTTTTCTGGACAACCTTTATCACTTAGGGGTATGAAAAATAGATGTTAGCCGATTCTCATGCCTACTGAATATGCACAAAAAATTTCATCAAAATCTGTCAAGCCATTTCGGAGGAGTATGGCAACGAAAACTGTGACACGAGAATTTTATATATTAGATTATAATATACACTTATATACATATTATTGTATCTTCTAGTACCTAGTAATTCGGTAACACCCGAACAGGGCAGTCACGTCTGACCGCTGGAACTACATCCATACTCCGTCTACTATAGCATAAGCCATAAGGTCATGGTTGTGGGTTGTGACTAGGGTTGACACCTTTGAAACATAGCAGACCCGGAGACAGGCAAAACAAAAAAAGTTATTATCAAAAAATAGGCCTTTTTGTAATGTATACCTTAGTTTATGGATTGAAAAGATAAGTAATGAAATGCAAAAAAAATATTAATAAAATCACATATTTTATTATTAAAAATCATAAAATATGGGTTTTTTTTTAATTTCTTTCATCACTCCTCAAATTACTCATCAAAGAGTTGCTGTTAGGGATCGAAAATATTTTTTATAGTTTTCATTGCTTATTGACAAAATATATTATAAATATGTAGTACTAATTTTACGACGACCAGGAGAATAATTTATTGAACCTGTAGCCTGTAGATATTTATTTAAAACCAGATTAATTATTCGGGTGAAACCCGTCGAGGTGGCAACTCTAGGAATGACGGACATCCGACGCTGTAGGGATGGCAAATGGCAATGTTGTCAACCAACAGTAGCATGACAGGCGCAAATGGTCAGCCACAACGCTACCAAGCATATTGTACCTATATAGGTAATTATAATATTAATACAAATCATAAATTATATTTTTTTTTTTTGCAGGCCAAATTAGTAAGTAACTTTATGTTTATTGTCATATTTTTACTTCTCCTATTCTGGAAGGACCATAATTATGAAAAATCCAAAATTAGTTACAACACACAGTGTTTGTAATTGGTTCGGGTTCTTTTGCATTTGAAACACATTTTATATGATTAAAAAGACACATGTTATATTAAATAACAATTTAACATGCCAATAAACTCAAGATGGACAAAAATTAAAATATACCTATCATAGAAAGTGTTTTCAAACGATATTATTAATTACAGACATTTGATTCATTGTTTTTCATTACTTAACATTGTATTTCTAAATAAGTTGCACGGGCGGCTGTGATCAAATTATATGAAGGCTTACTCTAGCACCTATCTCCCCATACGTGAAATAGGGAATGGTAAACAAGCCGACCCCGCGTAGCGTATCCTGCCTATGTTTCGGGAAACGTTTACATAAACGGGAGACTTTGGGTCTAACTCTAACATCATGTTAGTGAGCGGAAACGTTTCCATGTTTTTCGGAGGTTCAGACTTCAGATCATAGGGAAACAAAACCCCAATCAGCTGATCGAGTTTTGCTTCAATATTGTTCTATGATATAACGCTAATATTGTTCAGAAGTAATCTATATATCAACTAGTTAAACAGCGAAATAATGAAACATGGCGGGCGACGTGTCCTGATATCGTTGTGACTAGGATTCTTACATTAATTATAATATGAACATATGAATATAATATAATATAATTTATGGGAATTGTTATGTACATACATAGTCAT